TGTGGGTATATATATATATATATATATATATATATATATATATATAAATATTTACCTTTAGTTTATAAAAGAGTCTGTTCAATTAATAAATAAAATATAATATTATAAATAAACGGGTTGAATGCATATCAATAAAAAAATAACCAATTAGAGATCATATTTTATTAAATAAATTAGGGATGAATTTATTTAATTCAGTGTTTGAGAATCCTCCGAAATCCACGTACTAACAAGCAAAAGTGACAAAATTTTATAATATTATTTATGAACTCTCATGTAATTTTTAATAATTTATTTTATTTATTAATTATCAGTATAGTTATCAACTATTTAGTATCTGACTGTGTAATAGGATTGCCTGTGAAAAGTTAAAAAAATTATAATTTTATTTTGGTTTGCACAATATACTTTACTATTTCAAAAATCAATTTTTTTTACAAGATTACTAAAGTAAATTTTATTTCTTTAATTTAATTAACAAAGTTTTTCTCCATGTGTTATATATAGTCAAGAAATCAAACATATGTTAATAATTATGTCAAAACTTATTAGTTAGAAAATCATAAAATATAACCACACGAGTGATGTGTTCTTGACTTTTGCAAATAGTGACTACATTCTATTATTACAGAAGCTGTAAAACAAACTCTCTTCTGGAGTTTGGATAATACAAAACCCACATTATCTCTGTGCATGGGAATTGGAGAAGACTCAGAAGAGAGGTTCATACATACACACACCACACTGCAAACTTCATGCAAACATATGTTACATACTTATGTGAACATTAAAAAGGGACTGTGTAGAGGGAGCACTAGTGCAATCATGAATCAAACCTCAGACTCCACAATAAACCTTGAGAGCATTTTTGATACCCTCAGAAGAGCGAAGAAACTTCATGAACTCACTCTGAACAAAGGGCTTAAACAGCAAAGGGTGCTCTTCTGTCACAAGCTCATCTGGGGCCTTAATTATCAACCCTGGTTTTGGAACTGTGAACAGTCCAATAGAGAACCTTGTTTCATTTCCGCTCATCATCACTCGGTGAACTGGCGTATGCACCCTTCCATTTGTCCATGCCTGCAACATATTAAAATCACCAAAAAAATTTAGTATAACATATTTTTAGGTCGTCTTTATACCATTCATGTTTCAAATTTCATGAATTTTGTAAATCCACTTTCAAAATTTCGTACATAATGTCTTTTATTGTTTGAATGTTTGTTTCGTTAATTGTATATATCTTACATGTTAACAGTTGATATGATACTTGATTGTTAATCTATGAATTCTTATAAATCAATCAGCTAATAAAATGAATGAATTCTTAAAATTAGATGATAAAATGTGAAATTTTAAAAGTTGAATAACAAAATTCACAAAATTATCAAACATGAGTGACAAAATGTGATATTAACTTTTTTTTTTTAATTTTTTTTCTAATTTCTCTATGGAAAGTGAAGTGTATATGTTGGAAATTACATAAAGTGTGTCCCCAGTAAGAACAACGAAACTATTTGATGTCGAGGGCTTGCATTTGATCCATTCTCCACATTTTGTCTGTACCTCTAAACCGTCAATTTGATTTTGACACAATGTGGTGAATATGTTCTTATCTGTGTGCTCTACTAGGCCAAATTTTGCTTCATTAGTTTGAGGGCCTTCGTACTTTATAAGCCGTGCAAGGTAATTTGTTGAGTTCATGTGCTCCTCCAAATACTTTTCGACACCTAAACTCTCCAAAATCATCTTCCTAATAATCTGATCCAACCTTGACACTTGCTCTATGAAGAATTGTAGATTTTTGCTGCCAAATAGTTAACAAGAAAATGGGGGGTAAAAATTGTATTCCATATATTAATTGATTTATTTTTTCAAATTTTAATAAAAGCACATTTATAATGAAAAAATTGACTTAAAATATATTTTTAACTTTTACATCTATGATGTAAATTTGAAACCAAGTGGATGTTTAGATTAATTTCAATTCCACCAAAATCAAATTACAAAAATATGTTGAAAGGCAAAACAAAATAGTTGTTCAACTTTTCACCATGATATTGGGATTTCAAAACACAGTGAAGTTTCATTTCTAATGCATACCTAAAACTTGGTTTTCCTTGTGGCCATAAGATCTTGATTAAACTTTCGACTTTGTCATGAACATCTGCGTCTTCAATTCCCATGCTCTCATAGATTTGAACAGGTCCAACATAACCATGGTATGGCCTACTAGACACAACGCGTTGCTTGGTTTGCAAAGGAAGATCGAACATCTCTTCCACTTCAAGAAATATGGCTTTTCGAAGGTCCAAAGGTACTTTATCAAACACAGCCTCAAAGCAACCATACTCTACAAGTGCTTTGTGAACTTGGGATTTCACTAATTCCCACTCAGCAACATTGGACTCCAAATCCTCAATGGAAAAGTCAATAACTGGAAGTGAAGCTTCGGTTTCTGATCCCATGTTGATGGCTTATATGAACTGAACAGTTTCAAACTTCGTTTGTTATTTGATTAATTGACGCTCGAATGAAGTGTTGGTGCTACTGTGCGACATTAGAAAATTAAAACAATTGTACTATATATACATGAAAATTACATGGGTGATATAATAACCGGGCTTAAATACTAATTTGACTTCTACAGATACCCAAATTTTACTTTTTAATTTCTGCACTTAAAAGTCATTTGTTTTAGTTTCTATACAAACACCTTTTGAAGTTACTCTAATGATAAAGTTACTAAAGTTTTAAGCTTTAGATTCACTAACGAAAAAATTTATTTGTTATTAACTTTTATACAATAAAAAGTTATATAGGTTAAAAAAAAAGGCCCTATTCATTAACAGAAAAAAAAATCAACATATATATTTTTTTTCTTTTTTAAATTAATTTGGGTCTCACTTATTGTTGAAGTAACTCTTAACATTTTTAGTTATATTTCAATCCCAATCACTAAAAGAAAAAAATTAACGTTGGTAACAATGGATGATGTGACGCTGATATGTCACAGTATGAACATGTCTTCATTTAAATATTTTAACATTTATATTTTCGTTAATTTTACATTTTGATACCTTAATTTGTATCACATTTACCTTTTAGTCTTGGTATTTCCAAACTACACATTTTAGTCTTCATAAGAGCATTTTTTTGAATATTTTAATCTTCATCGATGTCTTTTCTCTTTCTTCATTTATTTTACTTTTTTTTTTTAAATCTTCTTAATCAACTAATTCTCATATACCTTAAATCAAAGAATCTCGAGACAGTAGAGTTTAAATGCATCTTTAATGTAAAATTAAATTAGGTAAAGTTAATTATAGAACTTATGTAAATTTAATTAAAAGTCCAAATTATATTCATTAATATAAAAAAATGCAAGATATAGTGATATATAGGCAAAAAAAAAATACAGATATAAATTTATTTAATATATATTCATACATAATTTTAATATTGATTTTGAATAATATTTAATAATGTATATCATGTATTATTACAGTCCATACTCATGTTTTTTTAACAATCATGAGAATAAATTTATTAACATATAACAATATTTTAGATAAAATTAATTTTAGTAATAAGTATTATAATATATAGGATCTATAGCACTATAAAATAAATTTTTTTTTGTCGTTGTTCTTCCATTAGAAAAAATAATAATAATAAATCTCAAATCGTACATGACACTAACAAGTTGCCAGAAAGGTATGTTAAGAACTTAAAATTAGTTGTAGATGCAAGATGCTACAAGATCAACTTGAAATTTGTTCTTACAAGTTTAGATGTGTTATTTGACAACTTTTTTTTTATTTAAATTTTCAATCTTATCAAGATCTGATAAAAGACAAGGCATTTCCTTTTCTGAAAACGTCAAAGCATTTCTTCTTCTGAATAGAATAAATCACGAGGTTTATACGAAAGATGATTCATGGAAGATTTTTAAACATTTTTAATTATGAATTATTGTGGATCAAAGCCTAAGTCCAAAAATAATGAATTGCTGAGATCATATTGACTGTTAAATTAATTATATGGTGGTCCTAGAGAATGTGCTCTTAATTGCTGAGACCAAATTACGTTTAAAAAATAATCTCAACTGTCGAGATGATGTTACATTTGCAAAATATAAACAGATGGGTCTACTATCATAATTCACAAACCAATATTGGTTAACTTAGCTACAAATTAACTTACCACATTATATTTGCACATACCCACTAATAATTGAAATTATTATTTTTTTAATTGCTGAATTAATTTCGGGGACGCAATTTAATATGATTGTCATTTTATTAGTTGTGTTAAAAAATCTTGTATATGTCTGCCTAACCAAGAATTACCCTAGGTAAGAGAGACAAAATACTAGACACCTAAATCACTCAAGCCCTTAACTTTTTTTTCCCCTCTCTTAATAGCATTTTATTTTGTGCAAAATACTATTGGTTGATTCTAAGAAATTACTACTCATTTGAATTTGTTGCTTAAATATTCCCAACAAGAAGTCTCTACCTCAGCTTCATCGAAAATGTTTTCTAATTTATACTACAAACTATTACTGATTTTGATATGTCAACTACCATATTAGCTTGATGTCATTTATCACACCACATTATTTGTCACGTGATTCATATTTAGGAGATTAAAAAATACGTAATTATAATTATAATATCTAGGAGATTCAATTTGAACAATTAATACTTAAAAGGCTAAAATTACATAAATAAAAACAGGAATTAAAAATGTATTTAAATTTTTAAAAATATTGAAACGGAAAATCAGAAGAAGGAAAAAACTAATTTTAATTTCTAAAAAACTTAAACTAAAAACTAATAGCAAACAACTTAATATTTCAAAGTGTTAAGTTTTTAAAGTTTAAGAATTAATGTGAAACAAATAAAACATTTTCAAAGACTAAAGAGCATTTTGATTCAATTTAAAAATAATTGCTTAAATCTATTGACTTTTGAGTTTTTTTTAAAATAATTATTATTTTCAAAATTTAAATTATACTCATAATGAGACCATACTTGTTCGTTTAAAAGATTTAGTATTAAGTATTAAAAGTTCAATAATTATAAATGTAAAGTTAGTAGAAATTTTCAATTCCTAGATGTGAATCGATTTTATATGCCATAAACATTCTGGTCCACACCAATCAATCGAGAGTTATATATATATATATATATATATAT